AATGGCTCCAAAATCATTAAAAATTTTTATTACATTTTCTTATGCATATTGACGTCCTTATGCTGTGTAGAAAGTTTGAGCTGATTCCGACTTCAATTTTTCAAGTTATGGCTTTTTTTTAAATGCCAAAATTCTGAAAAATACCCAAGGCTATAGCCCATGGTTTTTTCTAAAAGATGGCCCCATAATCACTAAAAATTTTTATTACATTTTTAGATGCATATTGACATCCTTATGTTGTGTAGAAAGTTTGAGCTGATTCCAACTTCAATTTTTCAAATTATGGCCATTTTATAAAAATGTTAAAATTCTGAAGAATACCCATGTTTTTTCCAAAAAATGATTCCAAAATCACCATTTTTTTTCAGATACATATTGATTTCCTCATGCTGTGTAGAAAGTTTGAGCTCATTTCGAGTTCAATTTTTCAAGTTATGGTCATTTTAAGAAAACACCACAATTTTGAAAAATACCCAAGGCTATAGCCCATGGTTTTTTTCCAAAAATTGGCTTCGAAATCACCCCAAATTTTTATTAAATTTTCTGATGCATATTGATGTCCTTATGCTGTGTAGAAAGTTTTAGCTGATTCTGACTTCAATTTTTCTAGTTACGGCCATTTTAAGAAAACGCCAAAATTTTGATAAATACCCTAGGCTATAATAGCCCATGGTTTTTTTCAAAAAATGGCTCCGAAATCACCCCAAATTTTTATTAAAGTTTCTAATACATATTGATGTCCTTATGCTGTGTAGAAAGTTTGAGCTGATTCCGACTTCAATTTTTCAAGTTACGGCCATTTTAAGAAAACGCCAAAATTTTGAAACATACCCAAGGCTATAGCCCATGGTTTTTTCAAAAAATGGCTCTGAAATCACCCCAAATTTTTATTAAATTTTCTGATGCATATTGATGTCCTTATGCTGTGTAAAAAGTTTTAGCTGATTCTGACTTCAATTTTTTCAGTTACGGCCATTTTGAGAAAACGCCAAAATTTTGATAAATACCCTAGGCTATAATAGCCCATGGGTTTTTTTCAAAAAATGGCTCCGAAATCACCCCAAATTTTTATTAAAGTTTCTAATACATATTGATGTCCTTATGCTGTGTAGAAAGTTTGAGCTGATTCCGACTTCAATTTTTCAAGTTACGGCCATTTTAAGAAAACGCCAAAATTTTGAAACATACCCAAGGCTATAGCCCATGGTTTTTTCAAAAAATGGCTCTGAAATCACCCCAAATTTTTATTAAATTTTCTGATGCATATTGATGTCCTTATGCTGTGTAGAAAATTTTAGCTGATTCTGACTTCAATTTTTTCAGTTACGGCCATTTTGAGAAAATGCCAAAATTTTGAAAAATACCCTAGACTATAATAGCCCATGGTTTTTTTTCAAAAAATGGTTCCGAAATCACCCCAAATTTTTATTAAAATTTCTAATACATATTGATGTCCTTATGCTGTGTAGAAAGTTTTAGCTGATTCTGACTTTGATTTTTTTAGTTACGGCCATTTTAAGAAAACACCAAAATTTTGAAAAATACCTTAGGCTATAATAGCCCATGGTTTTTTTTCAAAAAATGGCTCCAAAATCACCCCAAATTTTTATTGAAATTTCTAATGCATATTGATGTCCTTATGCTGTGTAGAAAGTTTGAGCTGATTCCGGCTTCAATTTTTCAAGTTACGGCCATTTTAAGAAAACGCCAAAATTTTGAAAAATAGAGATAAAGAGAATGCAGTTACTAGTTCTGATCTGATATTATACTTTATTGTTTTGTGGTTTGTAGGTAGTTAAAGAGACCAGATGGATCTATACATGCTGAAGATGTCAAGAATGTTCCCTGAGCCATTTTTGATGAAATACAATGTATTGTATCAGTGTTGGGGCATTTGCCATCCGTTGAACTTAATTCATTGATCACTGATTTGCCCAGTTTATCACAGTTCATACAGTGATATCTGTTATATTAGTATTTTTATAAGCAACTGGCTTGTGTCGCATCATTTTGTTGATGGTACTTTAAAATAAAATTCATAACATAAAGCCACAAATAAAATAACTTCACAAATAATGCTTAATAGTAAATAGCATGTACATAATGTGACAGGTGAGTGTGTGTGTGTGTGTAAAATAATAGTTTAATTACCACAAGTTACATAAACATTGCTTGTTCCATGTGATTGCAAGTTGTGTATAAAAAGTATTGTAGTCATAGTTCATTGTGAACTCTCCATTGCTAGTTCCCATTCTTCTTGTATCATAGCAGAAGCATCAGCTACTGGCCCTCCAACATTAGTCAGAGCAGACAAAAACTTCTTAATCCTCTTCTCTACTTCAGATTGAGTGCGTATGAATTAATGCCAGAGAGAAACGATCCGATTATTTTATCGTAAGTTGGGGATTTGTGGACGTCTTGTGGTATGATACCAACTTGAAGGAGCTCATTAGAGATACTTTTCAGAGAGAGATCAAAAACATCATTCAAGTCAACCTGGTGCTGAGTCAGGACTTGCTTGATGGTTTTCTTCATAGTCTTACTATCAATACCTATTATAACACAATTTATACTGACTATATATTAGATATGCCTTGTATCTCTCAACTCAATGTACATGTTATGAATTAAAGTAAATATCTGAATGCACGTGAATCAAAGATGTTTAGTAATTACCTGAATAAGGATTAAAAGCATTTCTGGGCATGATGGCTGATGGTTGGTGGACCTGTTGATCTATTGAGTGTATTATTAAAATCAAGTAATAATACAAAATGCAATACCAGTAGATACACTAGGACTAGCTTGTGCTCCAGTTTGTACTGCAGTAGTGGCTGATGCTATGATGAATACATACATAAAGCAATATCATGTACACACTCAATTAGTTACCTGATGAAGGATGAGGAGTATTTCTTTAATGATCCGTGGATGAAGATTGTTACTGGATAAACTGTGCTACACCTTCAATTGACATGGTAATCCAAAATACTGATGATTTATTGTTTATCATTTCTCGGTGATTTATGATGTACACATGGATGCTCGTAGTACTTAACAGAATCTTGAGGCCAGCCACCAGCCCTAGTCCAGAACTGATTTGCCCAACAAGTAAAATATTGGATACAGTGGCATGTAATTTAATATTTTAATTAGCTCAAAGTATTTGAATAAGCATTAAAACAAAAGTAAACATTCCAAGATAATTAGCTAATAATTGAGTTTGCATTAATTTAATGTACTGTATTAAGGTAACAAAGAACATTTATATGGGCTACACCAAAATATACATGTATGATTGGAGATAAGTAAAATAAGAATAATAATAATAATAATAATAATAATAATAATAATAATAATAATGATAATTCTGTTTTGTACTGTTTTGTACTGTTAATAATAATAATAATAATAATAATAATAATAATAATAATAATAATAATAATAATAATAATAATAATAATAATAATAATAATAATAATAATAATAATAATAAAATACAGTGTCTTAAGATAATTTGACTTTTTTAGTGCCAAGTTGTAAATTTGTCTCCTCCATCCATTTCCTCCTCAACATGTCAGCAGCTCCAGTCACTGGACCTCCAATGTTTGAAAGAGCTTCAAGAAAATCCATACAGTGTACTTCAAGCTCAGCAATGCTGGATTTCATTTCTAGTCCAGTAATGAAATTCCTAATAATGGAGTCATATGAAGGATTCTTCCTAACTGAGTGAGTGATGATATTAGCTGCACTCAATCCTAAGGCAATGTCAGGAAGAGAATCTTCAAATACTTTGCTAAGGACAACTTGTCTATTTCTTAAAACTGCTATTAAGCTGTCAGTGATAGACTTTATGCCAGTATCTACATGAAATTAAAATACATTACATTACATGTATGTCACATTGTTGCATAAAGCTTTACCTTCTGCCCTTACTCTCTCAGTTGATAAGGCAGCAACATCTGATGGACCAACTAATAATAATAATAATAATAATAACAATAAGTAATACAATTGTGAATAATTACTTGATGAAGGAGTGGTTGATAATAAATCATTCTTAGATACTTCAATATTCCAAGGAACAGTAGATGCATCAGATGATGTTTGTATACCATCAATAGATAAAGCATGGGATATCTTGTTAGTAGCACCAGTTTCATCAGGTTCCACTGATACTTGAATGTATGGAGGCTCAGCACTTTTACTGCTGTAACGAACAACAAGACTTCTACTTATCTATGAACCACAAAGTAAAGAGATTTCTAAAAACTGTCAGGCGCTTACTGCAGAAGTATTGTATGGTTTTATTCTCCAGCCATCAATTGTGTTTGAGGGGAAATTGTGGACCTTTAAGAAGCAGTCCTTATCATCAGACTTGTCATCAAAAAATTGAAAATGAAAGCTTGATATCTGAGTACCAAGTATGGGCAGCATGCCTCTTTTCTCAACCAACTACAAACATTAATATAATTGGTTATTAATATTATTAATAACTATAGCACCTCTTTCAAGTGATCCATATCTTGTATTGCAGTTAGACTCATCATCACTTTATGAGGCAAACACTTTTTATAAATTAATGCAAG